TCCGCTGATCTGAAGCACCCTGCCGAAGCAGGACAGCTTGAACTATATTAATTAATAAAAACAGCATAATTTATATATTTTGAGGTCTAAATAAATATAACAAGGGATTTATATTGTAAGAAAATTGATTAATGTTATATAATATATTCTTGCCTGATCAGGATCTGTAACACTAAGAACAGCAGGACTGGCAACATGAAAGACTCCACTGCATCCTTCAACAGCCAAACGCAGAGAATCGTAGTCCAACAAATCTGCCTTGAAAAGTTTCAAGTTCTCTGATGCTTTCTCAAGCTTGTTCAAGTGAGCATACTTGCTCGCCCCTACACATCAATACATTTAGTTTTCATTTATTTTTTGACAAGGTATGCAATTTACCTATAAAATCTACGTTAAACCCACAATAATTTTATATAATATGTGCTGATATTTTTCCAATCATAACTATTAATGAATTAATATGACTGAGGAAAAATAAAATAAAACCAAGTAAGAGAAGAGATAAGAGAAGAGAAGAGAAGAGAGACAGAGAGTGATGAGCTGAGTGACCTGGCTGTCTGACTGTTCCATGAACAACATAGTCCTTTGAGAGAAGAAGGTTGACGACCCAAGAGGCTACAAATCCTCCAGCCCCAGTCACGCATACTTTTTCTTTCTCACCCGCCATCTATAATCAATGTATTATTAGCTGCTATGTCTTCTTGTTTCCCTTCATTCAATCTATCTATCTATGTACAACTACTTAATGCTGTTTTTTCCTTCTGAATTGCTTTTTTGCCTCGTTGACTCCGCACACTGGTTTTACATTTATAAATATTCTTGCAAGAGTCTACACCACACAAATTTAGATAAGGATAATGCTAGCAACCTTCTTTTTTGAGCCTTCTCCGGTTCTCTCATGACATATGTCAATTTCTTTACACTTAAAACAATGCCATTATTATATCAAACAATCTAACTTTTGTTTTTCATATTTATCCTTATTTGATGTATTGACTTGACTTTAATTTATTAATTTTTTTTTATAGCTTTCTTACTACTTAGTAAAAAATTATTATATTAATTTATTAAATATTAAAAAAAAATCGTGAAAAACCTATCTCAAGTTGTCCCCATCTTCTTCCCTAAAGCCCAGCACCTCCATCTCCCCCACCATCTCCTTAGCGCAACCCATCCACACCCCACCCTCTCCTCACCACCTCCCCATACTCTCTTCCGTCTCTCTCCCTCTTTTTCTCTCTTCCCCCAATCTTTCTTCAAACAAAACCTAGCCCATGCAAGTTTTGGCTACGGTAAGAACACCCTCAAGGCCATGGTAAGCATTGGCCATTATACTAAATTTGGGTTTGACGACCATCACCAAGCACCAACAACAACAACAACCCAGCCCAAATTTAAAAATCTCACCTTAAAGTTACAAACTTTAATTTGAGAAATAAACAAAATGATTTTGATTTTTTGTTTTTGTGGGAGATGTCATGTTGTTTCGGGTGTGAAGTCTGGCTCACTCAAAATGACGAGAGTGAGGGTTAGATTTGGGGTTGCAAGTCTGTGATTATTCGAAGAGAGAGAAAGTTGTAAAAAAAGATTGAAAGAATTGAAGTAAATATTAAAGTCAATACATAAAATAAGGATAAATATGGAAAACAAAAGGTAGGTTGTTTGATATATTAATGACATTATTTTAAGTATAAAGAAAATGACACATGTCATAAGGAAAAGGGATAAGGTTCAGAAGAGAAGAGAAAAAGTTGCTAGCATTTTCCTTTTGATAAATGGAGTTTTCAAAAAAGTCTAATTCCTTTAATTTTGTTTTCTTTTGAATTCCTTAAAAAAAAATTTATTGGCTTAAATGTCAAAATGGTCTATGTGTTTTACTTCATCCGTCAATTGAGGCCCTGTATTATCAATTTGGCCAATTTAACTCTTGTGTTTGTATTTGTTAGTCAATGTGATCCCTTTCATCCCAATTCCGTTAAATATTAAAAAAAACATTTAAAATTAATTTTAAAAAGCTGTAATTGATTGTAAAATATTCAAATTCAATATATAAATGGAATTTTAAAAATAAAATAAAAAAATTTCTCCTCCCCCAATTTTACACTAAGACTATAACCACCTCCAAACTCAAAACCAAACTCGCCACCACCACTCCATTCCCAACACCACCTAAACCACAACCGCTTTCTCTCTCCGGCTACAGCAAAAGTCTGCGACATAAATACCAAAACCATGCTTACTACAGATTCCATAATTGTAAGAGGATCTGGGTTGCTAGGTGCGTCTAGGTTGCGTGATGGTGGCTGAGAAGCAAGAGGATATGTTCTAGTCATTGAGCGATTGGGGTCGCTTGAGGGTGTGGTGTTTTTGGGCAGTTAATGGATCAGAGAGGAGAGAGATGAGGGAGAGAGTATGAGAAAATCCAAAGCAGAAGAGAGATGAAAGTTGAAAGAATGAAAGAGAGGCATTCGATTGACTCAAGAACCTTTTTTGTTTTCTACAATACTCAACAACATGGGAGCCTGAAGCCCATTGAAACTTTTGCTAATTGGTGTGTGGTTTATTCCTTGTGCTTGCTGAACTCTTGGGAAATAATTGTGTTGTTGTGTAGGTAGATTTTGTTGGAGTTGGCTCGACTAAATGAAGGAAATAAGGAAGTAGCCCAGCATGCAGGCGCTCGAGCGGAACCTGCATGCGCTCGAGCGGGTCGCGATTTCCTAGGTCAGTTTTTGGCCTATTTTTGGGAGGTTTTTTAGTTTCCTATTCCTTGTATGATCGTGCTAAAGGCCTATACATATAAATAGGTACTTTAGACTAGGGTTTAGTAGAGATTTAAGATATACAAACCTAGGGTGAGAGAAAAAGAGATCTAGAGAGAGAGAGAGAGAGAGAGAGATCAAAGGGAGTTCTTTATTGTAACCAAAGGGATTTTTCTCATACTAGTGAATTTTCTCGGGGATCACCGGAGAGGACGTAGGCACAACGCTGAACCTCTATAAATTCTTGTGTGTTCTTGTGTGTGTTTACTATTGTCGTTTCGTGTGCAATTTATCTTTGTGTAGCTTGTGTTGTGATTGTTGCGTAGTCCATCAACGACAAGGTCTTGGAAGTGTTTTCGCACAACAAGTGGTATCAGAGTCGCGGTTGTGGCGGGCGTTGGTTTATGCCCAAGTGCTCTTATAACTTTAAGAGCGGCGGTGTGTTGAAGATGGCAGGTGACAAGGACGAAGAATGTTCTGGTACTAAGTCACAATGGGTATCAAGCACAAAGGTGGAGTTAAAGCCATTCACCGGCAAGGAGAACTTCACGCTTTGGCAAAGAAGAATGAAGCATGTTCTTAAGCAGCAGGGTCTCAACAAAGTTTTGGAAGACAAGGAAAAGAAGCTGGTAACCATGACAGATGCAGAGTGGGATGACCTAGACGAGCTTGCTAGAGGATCCATCGAACAACATCTAACCGATAAGGTGTTGTGTAATGCGATGGAAGACACCGCAAAGCAAACATGGGAAAAGCTAGAAGAGATGTTTGCGTCAAAATCATTGTCCAACAAGCTTTTCTTGAAGAAAGAGCTTCACTCTCTTAAGATGGAGGAGGGCACAAGCATGATGGAGCACGTGAGCGCCTTTAATA